ACCTACTTACTTACCCCTCTGTTCCTTCCCTCCCCATTTCCTCTGTGCTCTCCCTACATTCCAGTGTTCAATCATGATCACCACTCTCTCAACATTGGCCCTGTCTGTCCACACCTTTTTGTACATGGGATGTGCCTTTTGTGGGGCACCTGTTTCAGGTGAAAATTACATTTTTCCAAGTTCAATTAAAATGTTCCCCTTTCTGGAAATCCTTCCTGGTCTTTCCCATCCACAGTTAGCCTTGCTCTGCCTGAGCTCCCGCAGCCCTCTCGTTGCACACCTCCCAGCCCTGAGTGCAGCGTCCTGCATGCTGTGTTTATGTGCCACCCTCTCCCACCTGTGAGCAGATTGAGGCGACCCATTGCAAATCATCCCCCTTGCTGGTGCAGGGTCTGCTTTCGAGGAGGCCGCCCAGTAATGTTTATTGGTTGAATGAGTGAAATTACTGGCCTTGCTTAAATGGGACCTTTCATACCCTTAGGAATCTCTGTCCATTCTTCTCTCTGTCGTCATTTTCCGCCTGGTGTCCTTTGAGTCCCGGTAGGTATTTCTGGCGTGTAAGAGATGCCTGCAACTACTCTGACTTTCATGGAAAAAAAAGAAAGGAAAACTACCATTCACTGCAGACCTACTGTATTCACCCATCCACTTTACAATCCTGGTGTCTCATATATCAGTTAGGGAACTTAGGATCCAAGCCCCAGAAAACGCCAACTCAACTGGCTTAAACAATAAGGGGACTTAGGATCCAAGCCCCAGAAAACGCCAACTCAACTGGCTTAAACAATAAGGGAACTTATTGTAACGAGACATAAAGCGAGGGTGGCTTTAGGGGTGGTGGCTTAACTGTATCAACAAAAAACCCTTTCTTTCTATCTTTCTTCTCTGAAAACTTATGAGCTTTTTCTTTGGGCCGATTCACCTCGTGGCAACAAAATGGCTGCAGCAAATCCAGGCATGACATCCTGATGCAGTACTGGTTAGAAGGAGAACGTTCCTTGGGCCTCTCTTTAAAGTGGAGAAAAAAATTCTAGAAGCTTCTAGAAAAATTCCTCTCCTAGCTCATTTACCAGAACTGTATCACACAGTAACGCTTGAGCCAATTACTGCTAAGGGAATTAAGATTCTCGTGATTAGTATAAACCAATCAGGATCTCACCTTAGAGGCATAGGAGGGAGGGGTGTATGCTGAAAGAAAACGAGGGTTCTTTCAGCAGGGAAAAATAATAAAATAAATTTTGGGGAGGAAACCAGCAGTGTCAGCAACGCCCTTTTTCATAGAGAATTATTTTATACCGAATTTCAGGGAGGTTAAGTCACTTACATAAGGCCCCACAGCTGATAAAAACAGAAGTCGGATTCAAATCCAGCTCTTGAAAACCCCAAAGCACATCCATGTACTTTTTCTGCTGCACAGCTGGACCCAGAGTCAAACTTCATTTCCCAGAAAAGCCAAAGCCCCCTTCCTCCCGGGGAGCGCTTCAGGAGGGGAGGCAATCGCCCTGCTTTCCCAGCCAGCCTTCAGCTGGGCATTTAATCTGTTTATTAAGTTATGACTAATGGTGCCGCGAGACACCGAGGGCTGCACGTTCAGACCTAGTTTTAGGTTGTTAGAGGAGGTCCGGGGGATAAACATCATATTCAGATTCTAGGCCGAGAAAATTCAATTGCAGCTCTTTCTCTTGCCGAGGCAGGACTGGCGAGGGGCTTCTG